TCCTCAAACCAAATATTCCACAATTTTAGTGACCATTTCAAAGCAATTATTGGCTATAATTTTTTTTTATAGTTTTTTTGTTTTTGTTTTTGTTTTTATTTTTTTATTGATTTTTCACAGAGAGGAAGGGAGAGAGATAGAGAGAGTTAGAAACATCGATGAGAGAGAAACATCGATCAGCTGCCCCCTGCACATCCCCCACCGGGGATGTGCCCGCAACCCAGGTACATGCCCTTGACCGGAATCGAACCCGGGACCTCTCAGTCCGCAGGCCGACGCTCTATCCACTGAGCCAAACCGGTTTCGGCTATAATTTTTTTGTTGTTGTTAATCCTTACCTGAGGATGTTTTTTCCCATTGCTTTTCAGAGAGAGAATAAGGAGGAGAGAGAAAGAGAAAGGGTGAGGGAGAGGGAGAGAGAGAGAGAGAGAGAGAGAGATTGATATGAGAGACACATCTACTGGTTGCCTCTCAAACGTGCCCCAACCTTCTTATAGGAGATCATGTCTTTTAATTTCTGAATCGTTACAGTCCTGTTGTGAATGAAGTTAATCCATCTCTTTTGTATGTAAAGGTCTTTGAGAACAAAAGAATTGGAACTGAAGAGCCATGAAAACCATTTACATTCTCAAAGAGACTGCACTGGACACTGACTGGTGCCTTCCTAACCGAGCAAACTGTGGGGTGCTGTGCCAGTATCAGGGTCAGTGATTGGTGGATGCTCAACAGCTGTAGTTGCTTTGTTCATGTACTTTAGTCTCTCCTTATTTAAACATGCACAGACGCACCCTAGCTGGTTTGACTCAGTGAATAGAGCATGAGTCTGTGGACTGAAGGATCCCAGGTTCAATTTCGGTCAAGAGCACATGCCTAGGTTGTGGCCTTAATCCCCAGGAGGGGGTGTGCAGGAGGTAGCTGATGAATGATTCTCTCTCTGAAATCAATAAAAATATGTTTAAAAAAATAAACATGCACAGATGCAAATGTTCTCTTATGACCAGGAGGCTGGGAAAAATAGCCAGAGAGTGTTTTGCTTGTGTTCCTTGGTTCTGCATGCACTGCACTGGCTTTGGCTCATAGCTCTGAATTTTGTAAAGATGTAGAGCCAGAAAACTCATTAGGAGCAGAAAAAGATCTTGGGAAAGGTGTTCCTAAAAGGGGTGGGGAGAGGAAGGCTGGAGAGGGCAATAGGGAGTGTAGAGTTTCGTTTTGAAGAAATGAAAATGTTCTTAAATTAATGTGGTGATGGTTGTATAACTGTACATATACTAAAAGCCATTGAATTGTACACTTTGCTTGATATGTGGAGGATATCTCCATAAGGAGGTTTTCAAATGCAAATGGAGGTAGAGAAAAGAAGGCTAAAATGAATGTAAATAATGTGAGTAATGCTTTTGCCCTGATATATAAAGTAAATGATCTGACTAACAATAGAAATATTTTCATGCAATAGTTTTGATATTCAAAGTGGAAATGATGGGGAGAGCCGCTTGTCACCCAGAGCCCTTGAGGGCCTGCTCAGCACCCTGGTGGTGGCGCCTGGTCACATCTTGAGATGTGGCCATGGTGCTTCTTTCTTTACTCGTTTTGAGAACCGGCTCTAACATGCATCAGTGTGACTATGGGATAGACTTACCAGACAGGAAAGAAAACACAAAATCACCTAGGCAGACAGTTCCCTTTATGCTTTTTCTTTTTGGTTTTATCATAATTTGAAATGTACCTAACTGCCCTAACCAGTTTGGCTCAGTGGATAGAGCGTCGGCCTGTGGACTCAAGGGTCCCGGGTTCAATTCCAGTCAAGGGCATGTACCTTGGTTGTGGGCACATCCCCAGTGGGGGGCGTGCAGGAGGCAGCTGATCGATGTTACTCTCTCATCAATGTTTCTAACTCTCTATCCCTCTCCCTCCCTCTCTGTAAAAAAATCAATAAAATATACTTAAAAAAAGATGTCTAACACAGCATATATTTTTAAAAATTAGAAATAGCATAAATGTCCATTAGTGCTTAAATAAATCATGGTGTTTGAAAACATCATGTTTTCCCTCCACTGACTTCCAAATATTTGTCACTCAGGAAAAGAAAGTTTGAATTAAAAGTAATACTTGAGCCCGGCAGATGTGGCTCAGTGGTTGAGCATCGACCTATGAACCAGAAGGTCATGATTCCATTTCCAGTAGGGGCACAAGCACCAGTTGTGGGCGTGGCCAGGTGTGCAGGAGGCAGCCAATCAATGAGTCTTTTTTTTTTTTATTAAATCTTTATTGTTCAGATTATTACATTTGTTCCTCTTCCCCCCCCCCCGTAACTCCCCTCCTCCCAGTTCCCGCCCCACCCTCCGCCCTCACTCCCCACCCACTGTCCTCATCCATAGGTGCACGATTTTTGTCCAGTCTCTTGCCACATCTCCCACACGCCTTTCCCCCCCAAGAATAGTCAGTCCATTCCCTTTCTATGTCCCTGATTCTATTATGTTTCTATCTCTTCCTCTCCCTTCCTCTCTGAAATCAATAAAAATTTGAATATGTAAGATGTGCTGTTACTTGAATTGTAGAATGTGGTCTTATTAATTTGTTAGTTAAGTGTTAAGTTTGCCAGATCTATAACATCTTTCTATTCATGCCATTCCAATTAGCATAGAAAATTATCTTTGGAATTCAAAGTAAGAAATGGGCCACCAAGAAATGGTCAATTTAAACTATAAAGACGGTGTGCCCTTGAAATGGACACAATTAGATGCTCAATTAATGCCTGTCTACTGAAGAAAGAAGGCCCAGGCATGAACATTTACTGAGGTATCTCATTTATCTCTGCTTCGGTAATTTGTCTGTTTTCTTCTTCGGTAATTTGTCTGTTTTCTTCTTCCTATATTTCCTTTGTGGGCTATTGTGCTACAAAAATGCCTCCATTATCAGATTCAAAATTGAATCCTATGATACTGTAGCCTGAGGAAAAAGAAGCATTGAATATCATTCCTAGTTTTAGACCCAGAAGATACTTAGGAAATGTTACTGTATACACACCACATTCAACATTACTGCTTTTAATTTCTTTTTTACGCGTGCAATGGAGATTAATTTACATGAGCTCTTTTCAATTTCTGTAATAAGATCCAAATTTTGCATTAAGCTTTCCATCTCAAAAACAAACAGTTAAAAAGGACACATTTCTTCTTTCAAGTGTTTTTATTATAGTTCTATTTTACAGTCCCTGCATCTAATATTCACTTAAATGCTTGAATATATATACCCATAGGTTCTACTTTGGTTTTTTTTTGTTTGTTCATTCCCTGATTACCTCCTGTTTCTATCAGAAAACTTCCTAAGTTTCAAATGCTGCATAACTTGAAAAAGCACTAAACCTAGCAACAGGAATGTCTCCAGATCCAGGAAGGCATTTATTGTCTTTAATAAAAAGTCAGGACTGAGCCCTAACCGGTTTGGCTCAGTGGATAGAGCATCAGCCTGCCGACTGGTCCTAGGTTCGATTCCGGCCAAGGGCATGTACCTTGGTTGCAGGCACATCCCCGGTAGGGGGTGTGCAGGAGGCAGCTGATCGATGTTTCTAACTCTCTATTTCTCTCCCTTCCTCTCTGTAAAAAATAAATAAAATATATTTTTTTAAAAAAAAAGTCAGGACTGGTCAACTGCTCAGCGACAGTGTTTCATGAAAAGGGCGTTTGCTGTGGATCCTGAATATGAACTGGTTATAGAATTTGAAATTTCAGAAAAGTACAAAATCCACTGAAACACAGGGGACTTCCCATTCTATGCCATTGCTATTAAACACTGAACTAGATTATGGAATTATGATATGTATGTTCTTTTCATAAAGCTCATGCTCTCACATGATACTTTCTAATTGCAACAGAGCTGTGAGTTGTAGAGACCAGACTGCCATCTCAGTAAGTCAACAGCAGCCTCCTGATGTCCTCAGTTTCACCTGAGAGGTGCACTAAGAGGATTAACTTAAACCCATCTGCCTTTTGAACCAACCTTCAGTTAACCAGGGATGAACAGCAAATGATATCTCAAGGAAATAATCAGACAAATCCAGAAAGGGAGAGGCTCTGCGGAACAATTTTCATGATTTCTAGCAAAAGTCAGTGCCACTAAAAATAAAACAAAGATAGAGACCATAGGGGCTGAGAGCTGTGCTAATTCAAAGAAACTTAAGGGCTAGAAAAACAAGATACAATGCATGATCCTGGATTGGATGCTGATTGGAGAACTAATTAGTTAAAGAACCGTATTTATGCTCTACCAGTGTGACTCGGTGGATAGAGGGTCAGCCTGAGGACTAAAGGGTCCAGGTTCCGTACTATATCTTGGTTGCAGGCTCCTCCACGACCCTGGTCGGGACTCCTGCAGGAGGCCAATAGGTATTTCTCTCTGTCTTTTCCGCTCTTTCCCACTCTCTCTAAAAATCAATGGAGCCCTAGCCGGTTTTGTTCAGTGCGTAGAGTGTTGGCCTGGGCACTGAAGGGTCCCAGGTTCATTCTTCACCCTGTTCAGAAGGGTACCCTCACCCTGGACCTCAACTTCTTCACCTCCAGCTTCCGGTCTCCCTGTTACCTGACCCGCGTATGCAAATTAATCTCACCTCCCTCCGCCTCAGTTTCCTCCTCCAGAAATGGATTAATGTAACTACAAGGTGACCCTGCTCCCTTGGCACCTGGGTCGCCCCCGGGAGGGGCCAAACCCCGCCCCTAATCTTCGCACGCCTGGCCCCGCCCTCGACGCTACACCTTCCATAAAGCAGCTGCCGGGCCTGCTCTGGACCATTCGGCTGGAGGTGAACCAGCGAGAAGGTCGCACGTCCAAGCGCGAGCATATCCGAAGCCTCGCCCGCCCGCCCGCCCGCCCGCCCACTCGGGACTGGGTGCCAGGAGCTGGTTCGGGGGAGGAAGCACTGTGAGGAGCAGGCCTCGGAGGAGAGCCCTTCCAAAGCCCCCCATAGACCCCCCCTCCCTCAGGTGTCTCTTCCCCTGGGGGACAAGATGGAGGGAGACCCCCGCGCATCCCGCGGCCGGTCCCACAGCTCCGAGCGCCCACGGAGCAAGCACAGAGCGCCCTCGCCGCTCCCGAGGCCGCTCCCAGGGCCGCGCTTTGGTGACTTGTCGGAGGAGAGAAGGCCCGGCCACCCAGAGCCTCCTGGCGGCAGAGGCCCGTCCCCTCCCCGGGGGGCAGGTGCTCCCTGGATGCCTGCAGTCCAGCAGCGGGCCCCGGCCCTGGCCCCCGAGGCCGCTCGGAGGCCTGCAGAAGGCCGCCTGGCAGCCTCTCCGGACAGGCCCCTGGGGGCACCCCAGGGCAGAGGGGAGCACCCCCCGCTGGGGGCCCAGGGCCAGGAGCAGCCCTCAGCCGGGAGCACCCAGAGGCCTCGCCCGGCCTCCGCCAGGGAGCAAAGCCCACGGCCTCTCTGCCCAGAAGGAACCGCGGGAAGGCTGGCCTCTCGTGGGGCCCAGAAGGGGAAGGAAAGAGGGGGCCGCAGCTCCCAGAGGCCTAAGCCTCCATCGGAGGTGGCTTCGCACAACCCCGAGAAGAAGCGAAAGCGCAGACCCTCGGGGGAAACACAGTCTCACAAATGTGAGCGGCGTCCGCACGGCTGCGATGCAGGAGAGGGGCCCGGGGGCCCGCCGCGCAAGGTGCGGGAGAAGGTTGGGGACACCACCCAGACTCCAGCAGGGAAGGTCGGAACTCCTCCCCTGGGAAGGAAGCCAGGGGGTCCCCGGCCTGAGATGGAGGAGGAATTAGACCCGCCCGCCGCGTCCTTTGAGGCCTCCTTCACCCACCACCAGCCTCCATCGCAGGAGGCTTCAGAACACCCGCTGAAAAGGCGAACGCACAAACACTCACGGAAAAGCCCATCGGACAAAGACAAGCAGCGTCGACACGGCTCAGATGCAGGAAGCGGGGCAGGTGTCCTGCCGCCCAAGGTGAGGGAGAAGGTTGGGGACACCCTCAAGACTCCAGAAGGGAAGGTCAAAACTCCTCACTTGGGAAGGAAGCCAGCGGTTCCCCGCCTTGAGGAAGAGGAGGAATTCCAGCCACCCACCATGTCTTTCCAGGCAGGAGTCACCTACGACCCGCGTCCATCACAGGGGGCCTCGGACCACCCGACCCTCCCATGGCTGGCAGGGGCCCCTGGGATGTCTGGGGCCCCATCCGAGGTGGCTTCAGAAAATCCCATGAAAAAGCGAAAGCGCAAACACTCTAGCCAAAGCCAATCGCACAAAGACCAACAGCGTCTGCAAGGCTTAGATGCAGGAGAGGGGCCCGGGGGCCTGCTGCCCAAGGTGAGGGAGAAGGTTGGGGACACCTGCAAGACTCCAGAAGGGAAAGTCAAAACTCCTCACTTGGAAAGGAAGCCAGCCGGTCCCCCCCCTGAAGTGGAGGGGGAATTAGACCCGCCCATCATGTCTTCGGAGGCCTCCCTCACCCCCCACCAGCCTCCCGCCAGGAAAGAGAGGAAGAGTGTCAAGCCTCCAGCCACTGCGCTGGGAGGAAAGAGTCTGAGGAAAGAGGACACGACACGCGCCCAGGCAGAGGCAGGCCAGTCTGAGAAGCCCTTTCCACCTGCAGCAGCGGGGGCCAGGCTCACACAGGTGCCCCCTGCCGCGACACCCGCCCGGCCCGACCTCGGGCCCTGCCAGGGCCAGCCCAGTGACCCCCCACCGCCTGCCTTTGCATCCATGTCCTCCTTCCAACCCAGGCCAAGGGCACCGCCTTCCCCTGGCGAAGAGGAAGGAGCTGGGCTGATGGGAATCAGGCTGAACTCCGGGACACAGGCATTCTCTGGGTCCAACAGGGCCAGGCGCCGCAAAATGATCACCATGCTCCAGCAGTGTGTCCAGACCCTTCAGAACAAAGTCACCTTGCTCTCTCAAGAGAGAGGAGTCCCGTGTTCTCTCCTCCAACCCGCTGTGGAGAGTTGCACACCTGAGCAGCTGCCTCGCCTGGGGGAACACCATGGAGCACCAGCTGCAGAGACAGATCCCTTAGGGAAGAAGCACTGCGCCTTGGAGAAAGAAAGGCGGGAAGAACACACGTCGCAGCTGCAGCCCCAGGAGCAGGAGGCCCCAGAACTGGGCCTGCACATCAGCGCCAACAGACCCCAGGACCCACCAGCAAACATGGCTTTTTCCGACCCGTCTGAAAGAGGAGGAGGAGCAGCTGTCCAGGAAAAAGCCCTGCCGGCCCCAGCCCCCACAGCAGGCACCCGTGCTCCCTCTCACCCTGCCAGCGGCCACAGCTGTCGCCCCATCCCTGGGAAGCAGGTGGTCAGCAGCCACAAGAAGCCTGTGAAGAAGATTGCACCGCTGATGGCCAAGTCCATTAAAGATTACAAGATCAGGTGCTACCAACGATGAAGCCCGGGCTTGTCCTGGAGATGGGATTTGGAAGGAGGCCTGCGAGCACAGTGAGGGAGCGGTCCTGCCACAGGAGACCAGCATCTGGGGCTTTGTGGGAATTTTTGGACGTGACTCCCATAGATTTCCAGTGTTGCACCTGTGCACCTTCCTGCCAGCGCGGTCGGGAGCGCGTGTGAGCCCGTGCATGCATATACCACACACAGAGAAGGATCTGGACCGACAGAGGACAGCTTTCGTGTATCTGGGTGGTGGGCATGTGGTGCACTTATTTGATTTACTATCATTTCCTGAAATTTGATTTCTGAGTCTGTAACTAGCCATGCATTATGTGAACTGCAATGTATACGACTAAGAATAATGACCACAGTCATTACTGTCAGGTATTCTTAGATCTGATCAAGTCAAAGATTGGCTGTATCTTTAAAACCCACTGTGAGGAGGGATATACAGACTGCTCAACTCAATAAATGATGTTAAAGCAACTGACTCCTGGCGTTTGTAAGTGTTGTGCCTGTGAATCCCTGGGCCACAGCCCCTGCCTCCCTGCCTGGAGCGTGTGTGTGCATATGTGTATATATGCAGGCATAGAGAAGGCTCTGGAAGGGTAAATTGATAGGTATGATGGTTCAAGTGTGAATGCACATATGTTAAATATACACATATACAAGCTCTTTGATATAGCAATTGCAATAATAGGCTTTATATCCTCCAGATATAACTGTGTGGGGGTGTGCTTGTGTGTGTGTGTGTGTGTGTGTGTATTCATTAATGCACAGGCATGATTGTGCCATTTGAAGCCACTTTTCCGCAAGGACATTGCCTGCTTCTCAGGGGCTGGGATGCTGAGTAGTGTGCATTTGAAAACCTCACCCTGGCCAGTGTGCTCAGTGTTTGGAGAATAAGCCCGCACTCCCAAGGGTCACAGGTTTGATTCCCATCAAAGGCATGTACCTGGGTTACAGGTTCAATCCCAGGCCCAGTAGGGGTGGGGCAAATGGGGGAGGCAATCACCAATCAATCTCTCTCACTCCTCTCTCTCTCTTCTCTTACCCACCCTCCCTCCCTTCCACTCTTTCTAAAAATCAATTGGGAAAAAATATCCTGGGGTGAGGATTAACAAAAAAAGAAAGAAAAATAAAACTTCAAGGAGGTACAGGCACAAATGTTGGAGTCCAGGAGCCAGCAAGAGTGGGAAGCCTGTAGGGGACCATAGGTAATCTGTGAAGGGCTCAGTCCTACGAATAAGGACAGAAGAGAAGTTAGCAGTAAGTTGCCCCGGCTCAGTTTCCCATTCTCTATATAGTCCAGAAAAAAAAAAAAAATCAGTTTCTGAAATTGGATTGAGATGCAGCCCCCTGCAGGCACAAGGCAGAAACAAACCTAAATCCCCTCTACAGGAAGATAGCGTCACCCTTCATCCAAAATTATTTCTAAAAACGAATGATCAACTACACTGCTCTGCACAGTCAAACACAAGAACAACATAATGAGAAACACCAGTAATACTGACCATGAATCATCAAAATATTGGAACTGTCAGACACAGACTTCTGAAGAACTATTTTAACCATTACCATTAATAATAGCATATATTTGGAACATATTTAACAAAAGTCGTTTAAGACTTTTTGGTGGTCGGAATCGTGTCCCCTCTGCAACTTATACATTGAAGCCCTAACCCTGAATGCTTTAGAATGGGACTGTGTTTGGAGATAGCACTTTCAGGAGACAATTAAGTGAAAATGACCTGGTGAGGTTAGGCCCTCATCCAATATGACTGGTGTCCTTATAAGAAGGGGGCTTTTGGACACACAGAGACACCAGGGTTGCTCTCTATATAGGAACGGCCTTACGATGTACAACATAACAGAAGATGGCTATTTCCAAGCCAAGGAGAGAAGCCTTACAAGAAACCAAACCTGCTGACCCCTTGAGTTTGGACCTCTAGCTGCCAGAACTGAGAGAAAATAAATGTCTGTTGTTGAAACCACTCCGTCGGTATTTTGTTACGGCAGCCCTGGCAAGCGAGTACAACCGCTCTGTTGGAAATGACAGAACATAGCTAAGAGAAATTAAAGAAGACATAATGTTTATGATTGGGAAAATCACTATTGTTAGGATGTTAATTCTGCTACAAATTGACCTATAGATTCCATGGAATCTGGTTAATAGCTCAACAGGTCTTTTTCAATAAACTGAAAATCTGATTATAAATTTTATGTGAAAAATTATAATAACCAAGATAACATTGAAAAAGAGCTAAATCAGAGGACTTACACTACCAATTTTCAAGGCTTAACCTAAAGCCACATTCATTAAGGCTGTTTGATGTTGGCATGTAGACAGTCAAATATATCCATGGAACGGAATGGAGAACTCAGAAACAGACCCACAAATAAACGGTAATTTGATTTCTTTCACCACGTTGACTATGTAATTCAAATTTTTAAAAATATGCTAGAGCCCTAGCCCGTTGCGCATAGTGAAAAGAGTAATGGCCCTGCAGACTGAATGGTCCCATGTTCGATTCGGTGAAGGGTTATTTACCTCAGTTGCAGGCTGGATCTCCAGCCCTCGTTGGGGTGCATGTGGGAGGCAACCAGTCAATGTGTTTCTCTCACATGGATGTTTCCCTCTCTCTGTCTCTCCCCCTCCAGTCTTTCTAAAAATTCATGAAAAAATATCCTCGGTGAGGATTAACAAAATAAAAATAAAACGATACTGAAGCAGCTAGATTACCATCCCCCAAAATGAAGCTTAACACCATCTCACATCAAACACACAAATTAATTGATGATAGCAGTCCTAAATTTCTATGTACCTACTAACATGGCATCACAATAAATAAAGCAAAAACTGACAGAAGCAAAAGGAGAAATTGGCAAAAATAATATAATCACACGGAGAGAATTTTATATGACTTCCTCAGCTATTGATAGAACAAGATATAAAAGATTTGGACAACACAATTTATAAACTTAACCATTCTTTGAGCCATAAAACAAGTTTCAACAAATGTCAAAGGTTTGAAGTCACTTAGAATGTTATTGTATGAATACAATACAATTATTTTTTTAATATATTTTTATTGATTTCAGAAAGGAAGGATAGAGGGAGAGAGAGATAGAAACATCACTGATGAGAATCATTGATTGGCTGCCTCCTGCACACCCCCTACTGGGGAATGGGCCTGAAATACAGGCATGAACCCTGACCAGGGCGTCCAACTGGAATCAGACTGTGACCTCCTGGTTAATAGATGCTCACACACTGAGCCACAGTGGCCGGGCTACGATATTAAGGTAGAAAACAGTGTCAAAAAGATATCAATAGATTTCCTTTACTTAAGTAATACACTTCTAAATACTCGTGGGTAAGAGAAAAATCCTAACAGAAATCAGAAAATATTTGGAATTGAAGGAAAATTTTTTAAAATTTAAATGCTGCATATTAATATGTGGGAAGCAGGCACATTATTTCCCTCTAAAATGATTGGAGGGATGTTTAAATCCTTTGCTGAAGTTGCTAGAAGAGAAAAAAGGTTAAAACATTCATGAGGAAAGCGACCATCTTAAGAAATTAGAAAAAGTAATAAAATAAACTCAAGGAAAGTAGAAGGAAGGAAAAATTAATTTTAAGAATGTAAAAGTGAAATAGAAATTAAATTTCCAATAGACAAGACCAACAAAGCAAAAGTTGGGTCTTTGAAAAGATGAACAAAATTGATAAACCACTGGCAAGACTGATGAGAAAAAAAAGAGAGAGAAGGCACAAATAACCATTGTCAAGAACAAAAATGGAAGATGGTTACAGATCCTGTATATATTTGTACAAAAATAACAGGGTAGCCCAGCCGGGTGTGGCTCAGCAGTGGAGCATCGACCCAGGAACCAAGAGGTCACCGGTTCGATTCCTGGTCAGGGCATATGACCAGGTTGTGGGCTCCATCCCCAGTGGGGGGCGTGCAGGAGGCAGCCAATCAATGATTCTCTCTCATCATTGATGTGTCTATCTCTCTTTCCCTCTCCCTTCCTCTCTGAAATCAATAAAAATATATTTAAAAAAAGAACAGGGTATCATGAACAATTATGCCAATAAATTTGACATTTTATATGAGATGGACAAATTCCAAGATAACACAATATACCAAACCGACACCAAAATAAATTTAAAAATATAAATAGTCCTATGAAATGAACTTGAAGATATTGACTGATTTTGGTGCTGATTTTGTCACATCTTTCTGTTTCTTATGATTGCTAGTAATTTATTTATTGAATACTAGTCTTTGTGAAGGTCTGGTTTTTATTATTTTCTTTTTAAATGTGTTGAGTTTTGTTTTGGCAGGTAGTTTAGTTATTTGCAGCTAAGTCTGATCCTATAAAGGCTTATTTTTGAGTTTTATTAGGAAAGCTATATCTAAAGTAACCTTTATTCTAGGGCTCGTTTAGCTTACACTTAATGCATAGCCTTCCCCAAATCTCTAAATGCTGTCCCACAAGATTTTTCCACTCAGCTTGTTCAGAATTCAAATGCCTTCCCATGTTGTACGAGCCCCAGCAGTTGTTGAGCCTATAGTAATTGAGCTTTCCCCAAGCTTCATTCATCTTCACTGTATATGTGCACAGCTTACTATTCAGCCCCAAACTCCGAATTATGAAGCAATTTGTTTGCATGGCTCCCTTCTCTCTGTTCCCCTTCCCTTCCAGTTCTAACCACCTGAGTCTTCCCGAACTCTACTCTTTGTGTCATCTGCTGTGCTCTGCTAAGATCTCCCTCTTGTGCCGGAAGCCAGTAACTGCTTCCGGCAGAAGGCCTTTTCCCATGGTCAGATTGTCCAATGTCTGAAAACAGATTATTCATATATTTAGTTTAGTTTTCTAGCTGCATACAGCAGGAACACTAGTCTGGTACCAGCCACTCTATCACATTTGAAAGCAGAAGGCTACCTTAGTTTTTTAAAAATGTTTTCAAGACTTATCTGGGTAGTGAGATAT